TTCTACGTTGAGCAATATGATCTTTGTTTGATTATATATTTAATTTCCTCTTTATTTTAATTGAAAGAACTGTATTACTGGGAGTGTCTGCCATCCTTGCTCAACTGTCTATGTCCTCTACTTGGGTAAACCATTATCATGTTAAGGATTGATCAGTGGGCATGTAGAAAATTAGTTAACCAACTATCATGTCCTCCATATATACCTTTTTCAAACATTTCTTTGTTTGAAACCACTAAAAGCTGCAATACTGAAGCATTGCGCGCTGGTCATACCCCCCACTTACATTTGATATAGGCGACGCTGGCAAACCAACCCACGAGACAATCAATGAGACACATCATGTCGCTGCTGGAGGGAAATCTGAAACCCGGGCCATATTTGTCAAGGCAGATGCTTCCGTTTCTGATGACTTGGAGAATCTAGTTAAGGAGTGCGTGAAGGCGTTTGGAAGATTGGATATGTATGGCACCCCATATCTCGACAAAGCATTCCCACAACCCTAGAGAATATCATCTAACAAAGTGAACGAATTCGTATAATCATAGAATGGTCAACAACGCCGGAATAAGTCCCATAGGCCTCCAACCTCCTGGTGCCCGTATCCACGAAACCCCAGAGGCATCTTGGGATAAGATCATGGGTCTTAATGGGAAGGGAATCTGGCTTGGTTGTAGTAAGCTAAATATACATCGACAAAATTATCTTTCATCGTACATACATATGCAAATCTAAAATCCCATTAAAAAAGAGTTTGCTGCAGCGCAAATGCTCTCCCAAGACCCGCACTCAAGCGGTGATAGAGGCTGGATTATCAATATGACATCTGTCCTCGGAACCGTCGGTTCACCAGGCTCAAGCACATATACAGCATCTAAACATGCCGTGATTGGTATCACAAAGAGTATAGCGTTGGAGTATGGAAAGGACAGGATGTGAGTCTTTTTCATTATTTCCGTTCTCTTGGTTTTCAACAATCACATCATCACTCCCTCCCCCTTCCCCAAAGAATCCCTCCTTTACAACATGTTTCTATATAGTCACGTAAACGCCATCGCCCCCGGCTTTGTCGAGACTCCTCTACTTGCGCCCTTCGCAAATGAGAACAGTGAGGACCCGCATCTGAAAGCAGTCCACTCCATGCTGGTTTCTCTGCATCCATTCGATTCGAGGCTGGGTAAAGCGGAAGAAATCGCGGGTGCAGCAGTGTTTTTGGCTTCCAAGGATGCTGCATGGGTGACCGGAGCTACGTTGCAGGTTGATGGAGGATATGTGGCGCATTGAGCGGAGCTAGAAGTCCAGAATAGGGGTAAAGTTTTGTGTGTGGTGTTTTTTTGATTTAGGTAATGAGGTAGGGTGAGAGCGTGGCAATTCAGATGAACGATGATGAAACTAGTTCATATGATGTAACTAGTTATAGAAATGAATGATATCTTAGTAAATTTTTGTGGAATAAAGGGAAACACACATCATCTGAAATGAAAACGCAATGCTGTATTGAAAGAGGTTCATGAAAATTGAAAATGAAGAACATAGGAACTTTACCCGCCACTTTTATTACAAAAATATTATGAGAAATCTGTCACACATAAATATATGTGTTCTCAAGGCACTAAAAACCTGTTCAGAAGAGAAGAGAATGAGAAAAAGGAAATTAAGTCATCAATAAACAATATACAGTACAATAATGCATGCATGCATAACAATACAATTGAAATAACCAAGAGAAATTCCATTCGTTCAGTTCCGTCATATCGCATGATGTCGAGTCAACATGATCGCCGGAAACCAATGTATGCCATATCAGAGCCCCGGTGTGGGGTACAAAAACTGAAGAGAAAGCAAGTTTCAAAAGAGAAAAGCACTCGAGCTGAACAGCTCTATAAGTCCTCCATCAATGACCCAAGTGAATGCATCTAGGAAAGAGACTCGGGGACTTTTGGCAGCATGTCATCAACGGAACTCCCAAGGGAGGCCACGATGACTAAAGAGCAAACCTAGAGAAATTAGAATGTATGCACGGTCCGTTGCTAAGACATGTTCAACAGAAACATTAAGTGCAGTTCGATACCAAAATAGCTAAGACGCAGGTTGTCCGCCTTCCTCCTTTTACACTCCACCACATTTGAACATGAAATTGCGTTGAAGTAATGCATGCAAAGAGCATAAAAATGCTAACAAAAAAACACGCACACTTCTTCAACGGGCCATTGCCAGGAATGAAATAAGCAATACGAACCTAGCCGCTCCTGTTTGGCCGCATTGCCTCTCCTCTATCATTGTGGCTCATGAAACGCGTAAGCCAAGAACCTTCCGATTCACTGTCGCTATCTCCTAGTTCATCCAGCATACGATCAATCGCGTCACCAGCTTCATGTTCTCGTAGACCATTACTTCCATCTCTGAGATACGCATCATTCGACCAATTGCTTATATCATCAGCAAAACTAACCTTCCTGGGAGGTCGAGTGGAATTGCAGGTGTTATGAAGACGTATTCCCAGACCCAAACGGCCTCCAACGGATGATGACTGTTGAGGTGCGGGCCTGGGTAGGGGAGGGAGAGGAAGGGTAAGATGTGTGTTGCTATAATCACTCTGTTGTGCGTTCTGAGAGCTCGGATGATATCCTGAGTTTTCGGGGCTTGACATGAAAAGTAACGTTTCAATGGCATCCTTTTCCATCAGGGCATTTTGGGATGGCGTTCTAAGCTTTGGAACCGGCATTGTGGTCGTGTCGTTATCTGGAGTCGCAGACTGGAGAGATAATTGAGGTTGGGATTGGGGCGAATTATCGAGGATGGCTACAGTTGAATTGGTTGTTTGGGTAGATGAGGCAGAATGTCCCCTAACAGTGAATGTCATTTTTTGATAATTGTTTTGGTTTGGACGGCCATTTTGTATAAGAGAGTCATTGGGGTTTGGACGCCGCCGTGTCGCACTACCGTTTCCCGATATAATATCCGCAGGCGGTGCAAGTTTTGGTGGGTTTGCATTTGTAAAGGCAGCTGCCGGGGGAAGAGGTGGTATCCTAGGGTTTCCATCCGGTGAGAAGATTTGGTTATGATTTGGGGTTAAGCTCATTGGGGTTGTAGATAGTAAATCATCAGCGGAATCGGGATTTCGAAGCTTTGACAACCCGTCAGTCGCTGATGTGCTACTGATACTATGTCGAGCGCGTGAATGTTTAGGTCTCATAGGATAACTGGAGGAACCTTTGAATCCCAAAGGCAAAGGAGACTGCGAGGTAGATGAGTAACCTAGCCCTGGTAGAACCGTGTGTTCTTCCTCCAGGGTACGGATTGGCCACTCTTTCTGTACTTTCGCAGCTGCATAGGATAAACGTGCACGAAGCTGGGCAGACAACTAGAGAATATCACGAGTTAGCATAAAACGTATACATGTTGGCTAATATGTTCTACAGATCGAGCAACTACCTCCATAATCCTGCTTCCAGTTAAATCAATGCTCATTGTTCTAGAACGGCGAGTTGCAGTAACTGGCTTTAGGCTTTGGAAAGGCCCCGGAAAAACATTCGACTTCATCTCCCCGTTAGCCGTCCTTTTTTGCCCTTGTGGAATCTCAGTTGGCATATTCACCCTCGATGAACTTTCATTCAGGGCGTTTGCAACCGTTGTTTTGGACAGGTTGGTCGAGGGCAACGATCCTAGATCAACACTTCGGGAATGCGCATGAGCATATGGTGATTTCGCTAAGGAGTGTGATAATGGGAAAGGCGGATAGTCGTGGTTTGAAAGTCCAGATAATGGAGTCGATGAGGTGATATTTGGGCCCATCGCACCAGTCAACGAGGATTGTGTGAGGGTGCTGGAGGAAGTTTGAAGGTGAGGTAAAGCACCGTTGCTCACCACAGAAAACGGAGAAATTGGTTTGCTGTTATTCATTGCATGGAAGTCAGAAGTGTAACCTGGATTGGTCAAGTGTTGTCGCGGAAAGTTGAGAAAAGTCGATTTTATTTACTGGGACTGCTGTTAGGGGTGCTGTTTAGGGGGAGATTCGTGTACGGGATGAGAAGAAGCTGGAGACTGCGCAGATTGTTGCCTTGGGCACATTCCTTTAAAACACCAGGTGGTCCGAATATTTATTATCTTGACGTCAGCGCGTGCGGAGGGAGGGGGGATGGGATAGCACAAAAGAGATGGAAGAAAATGCAGCGCACGCGGATAGGCGGGGAGGATGATTGTTGTAAGTGGGCAACCTGAGAATAGTTAGAAGGTGGAGCTGTCTGGCGAAAATATTTCAAAAAACAACGGCTTGCTGTTGAGAAAGAAAACCTGACACCAACCAGGATATGTGGGCCCTTCACGCCCTATCTGAAAAAACTTGCTGTGGCTATCCGCATCAGGTCAAGTTGAGGGCCCCTTGTTGGAGAGATGAAAAGCTAATGGGGCGGTAAGCGTAGCGACCTCCTAGTAGTAGCCTGTGTGGTGGTATCGTTGGCGATATGCGCCATGATTCTAGCAACGATATCGCCCCAAACAATGTTGTCAACTTATCCAGAACCTGTCACTCTGCGTTGAAATGTGCTTTTCACACCAATATCGCTGTCGCGGTCGTAGGAATTCGAGGGATGTGGTCAAGACTTTCCTGATCGAGACGCGACGCGGCGCGGTCATGTGCGCTAATTACACGTGATATAGGCGCGGCCACGTGGGTTAAAATCCATGGATCTATCATTAGGTTCCAAGATGACATGACTACAGTAGATATGATGTAAGAAGTTGGAAAGGGACATTGCAAATAAATTAACTAGAAAATATAGATTGGGCCATAGAGTATATGCGTATATCTAAACTGATTCAAGAAAGTAAACTACTATACAATGCTGTTATCCCAACCGCAACAATTCCGCCTCCAAAAACACTGAACTAACCCTGCTGAAACACCACGTAAAAAACGCCTCAAAAACATTATTTTTGGTGGTGAAACTAGCAGCAGAGTCTATTCAAGGTATTCAAGGTAATTGACAGGAACAAAACAATCATCTTCTTTTCTTCCCACCTCGGTCACCTTCCTGGCCATCATTCTTCCGCTTCTTCCCTTCCCGCTGCCAATATTCGTCGCGCTCCCGCTTCTCCCGTCCCTGCTTCTTCTCAGCATTCTCCGCTATCTTGGCGCGATAAACCTTCCTCCGCTTCTCCTGCGCAGCTTGACGCTTCGCCACCTTCTCATTCCTCATGGTAGTAAGCTTCTGCAATAGATCCCGCGCTTTCTTTTCTTCGCCTCCCAAAACCACAGCCCGCTTTTGGAGATAAGACTGGCTTTGACGGGGTCTCATTTTTGTAATTTGAGACTTGAATGGAAGCTCCGAAGCCAGTTGGCGAGGGACACGAAGAGGATTAAAGTGTCGTGCTGGGCGCTCAATGGGTTTGTATGCAGAATCCTTTTCAAGGGGAGTGGGAATGTTTTGATCACGACGAAACTTCTCCCGTTAAACGCATGCCTTTCCAGCCATGCTCATTCTCTTCATCCAAGAGGTTGGTGACTGGGGTTGTAGTATCGGTGTGGCTTGATAGGGTACCAAGCACGGAGGAACACAATGTCACTCATGAGGATTTTGTCCTCAAATGTAGCACGGAAGTGTCCCTCTGGACGACTCAAAGCCCGTTTAATTTGACCCCGAATTCCAGAAACGGTTCGAATGCTCGCGCCTTCGAACTTCGCAATTTCGATAGCAGAAGTGAACATGTCCTTTATAAAAGCAGTGTTTCGGAAGATCTTGTATGGATATCCCGTTAGTTTGAGTTTCTTAACAATTTCCGTAGTTTCATCTACGTTCAACACGACACCAGTAGCTGCTATTCGGAACCCTGGGTTTTTATTGGAGAACGATTGAACACAGCAAAAGCCAGTGTTGGGAGCCACAAGCGGACCGTAAAAAGTGCCAAAACAATGCATATGTTCAGGAGTATATTTTAACATGCGATTGCGTGTTCGGGAATCGGAGATGCTGTAAACGGGTGTAGTTTGAAATCGACGCCAGCCAAGTGAGAATATGAGAGGATCGTTGGTTTTCAGAATTTTCTTGTGCCATCTATGTCTTTTGATCCTGACCTGGACATATCCAAATCGATCTTCAGTCGGTGCAAGGCCTCCAACAATAACAGGGAAACGAGGGTTAAATCGCGTTGAGAACTCGCAAGGAACATTTTCAAGAACAATTCTGGCATACGTCCCAGCTTTGTATCCTTCAGCTCTGGCTCTGGAGAGTGCGTCGAGAAAATCGAATTCTGCTCGGTTGATGTCAAGTTGCTTTTGGAGCTTTGCCTTTTGTGCTTCGTACCAATCATCCTCTCCAAATCGCCCTTCGTCTTGTCTGTCTCCGCCATCTTTAGCATTCGCGAAACCTTCGCGATCCTCTTCCTCGAAACGAAGTTTGAG